CAAAACATTTATTTCTCAGGCTTGTAAAAACACAGCCTATCTTTGGCAAAATCCTTCACACTTTCCAACAGTTGGAGAGAAGGAGGAAGTTGAGAAGTATGAGCAGCTGCTCCTAAGAGAGTGACTTTTGAAAAATGGAAACATAACAGGAGCAGTGGTAAGATGTATACAATCTCTATAAAGTAAATTGACACTTCCCTGTTGTAGTCATTATTATTATTGTTTTTAAAGCATCTTAAAATGTCACTACTAATGTTCAATTTCCGTCCATGTCTGAGATGCCAGTACTTTGTTAAAACCTCCTGCAGAATTCACATCTTAGCTGAAAGTAATTTTTTGGAGATACTCCTACCCTAAAAAGACTGCTGTAGCATAAAAATAAGAAGCTATGGTGTCAAAAAGACACCCTAACTGAATAAAAAATAGAGAAGTTCTGTTACTATTTTGAAAGCTGTTTGCTTTTTCACTTCAGTTTTGTGTTATCAGTGGTGTAAACTACACACTGTTTTAGTTGTAGTAATACAGTTTTCATCATAAATTATTCCAGAATTATAAAGTAAACATAGATTAATCATTTATTTCAAATTACATAATTTGAGGATGGATTTAGAAAATCATTCTTTTTCCTGTTGTAAAGTAGCTGTTTAGCCTTGATCATTTTTAGTTATTAACTAGTCTTTCTTATGGACTCTAACTTTGGAAGGACATATGCCACCTTTTTTCTGTAGCTAGAATAGTGTACCCAGTTACGAAATGTTAGGACTGTCAAGAACAATTGGAAGAACATCCATTTCTATTCATTGCTGTCATAATCTTTATATATACTGCATACATCAATTATTTATGAATATCTGTATATTAAATACATAATGCAGACAGCTTAGCAGCAATAGGTGTGATGTTGGACATGAATCTTTAACATGGTAAGAGATATATTATACTTATTCTGTGAGAAATTTTACACTGATATGTTTGGCTTAGTTTAGTGGGAAGAAATTGAAATGTGTTTAGCCCAACAGACATTTACATCTATTGCATCTAAACTCTTAAGACTTGATGTTGTTTAATGAACAGACGCTTGAATTTTTGGCAGATTTACTATAACATTTTAACATATGAACTTAAAGTATATACACAATGTTAAATATATTTACTATTCATTTATATCTTGATTCGAAGTGTGGAGAAGAGCAAACTGCAGATTACCTATTACAATGCGGCCTGAGCCCAGCCACATGCACAATGGAGGGCCATCTTATAGCAACACCAGAGGCACTCCAAGTAACCAGCAATTGGTCAAAGGACATTTAATAGAATGCCAAATATATTCCTAATGGTAGCTATCACTGATTTATAGCATTCCCACATTAATGTAAAAGTAGATGCTGACTTGAACTTAAATGCTGTAAGCCACCAGATCCCATCTGATCTTAGTAACTAAGCAGCATTGGCCCTGCTTAGGGAGACTGCCGACAAACATCAACAAATACCAGGTGCTATTGACTATATTTCAAAGAAGGAACTGGCAAAACCACCTCTGAGTATTCCTTCCTAGAAAAATCCTATAAAATGCATGGTGTTGCAATTTGTCAGCATTGCAATTTGTCGACTTGAAGGCCCATGTACATATATGCTGACTCTTTTTAGACATAGGCTACCATGCAAGTTCATTTTATTTATGGCCTGTTAAGTATAGTACATATATAGCACATAAGGCAACATAGGTATAGCTCATTTCCATGATTTGTTTGATAATAACTGTAGTGTGAGAATGGATCTTGGCACAAGCTCTAAAAAAGGGGAACACTCTTAGAAGTTTTACCTAATTCTATAACTGTAAATGATTTCCAGGGAAACCGTTCTTCTGAAAACAGTTCTAAAGTCCATGCCTTTCTTCTCAAAATGGACATAATTTCTGCCTGGTATTAGCATGACCTGTGGCATGACATTAAGGCTAAAAGGCAAAATGAAACAACCAGTGTAAAGAACAGGAGCAAAAGGACATGAAAATCAGGAGGATCAAGGTGGGAGGTGAAGAACAGAATTTAATTAGGGATATAGCAGCTCACTTTGATGACACATGAAAGAATGTGAAAGACCAAAAATGCTTTATGTTCTGATTTAAGAAGAGCTGGAGGTTACAGCAGCCTGAAAAATAAGAGAATTGCACTTATTAAAGAAACAGGGGAGGTAAATGAAGATTTTGACAGGAGAGGTGCATCCAGTCAGCCTGGACAATAGAACATGAGCTTCGCCTACAGATAGAAAAGATTCCTAACTAGCTGCTAACAAGATATTTCATGGTGGGTATGTTCCAAGGCCAGTATAATAATCTGGGCATGAGAGGGCATATACTGGATTCTGGCATGTTTGAAGGTTTGAATAATTGGTGTTTTGCCACTGAGTTAAAACATTAGTTTTATTGAAGGGTGCACTATTCCATATGTATCTGGGCGAAAACATCCTAACCATCCACTCCAACCAACTTGCATTCTGCTGTTGATGGTTTTGTGGAAAAGCCTATGTTAAATTAAACTACTTGTTTCTAGCATTTATGAAATGATGTTTTTTAAAAAGATCACTGACTTCCATTCTAGCACTAAGGCTTTTCTTCCTTTTATCAATGCCAACTAAGCATGCAAGCAGCTGTTGATGCTTATGCAACCCTAATCAGCCACCAGAATGAGCCGTCAAACCGCAGTCCCTGGAGTCCCAGTAAAGCCCTTCTGTGAGGCACTCCAGCTCTGTTGGCCTGCGGCACAAGAATCCCAAATCTTCCTTTGCATCTGGCTCATTTTCAAATGTCAGCACACAGAGCCTTTTCAGCAGCGGGTGCTTCTGCCACCCGCCCTAAAGCAACGGCACACCTAGACAGAAGTTGGCTATCATTTTGAGAAACGGTTGTGATGTGCAGCCGTAGATTGCTGCAATATCAAGTACTTAACAGCTGCTAAAGCAACTCATTTCAAAGCAAATAACATTTCCATAACAAAACAGAAGTGGAAAGGCAAATCTGTGAAAGCAGAAATGAAAGAGTGAGACTGCCAACCAACAATACTCCAACATGGCCAAAATGAAATGTTCTGTGTTCATCCTTCTTGAGATAATACCCTACGTATGTTCTTCGCTGGCTCCAAATGTAGAGGTTTGATTAAACTTTACATATCTTTTTAAAAAGCATTTGAGAATACAAATACATTTTTTAAAGTGGGAGGAATCTGATTAATTTTTCCTATCTATGTCGATACAGTTGGCCCTCTGTATCCACAGATTTTTCATCCGCAGATTAATCAATCCACGTCTTGAAAACTCTCTTTTTAAAAAAAATCCAAAAAGGAAATGCTCTTTTTCCAATTGTACGTGAGGGGTGCCATTTTGTTGCACCTTTGTATATAACGGTACTTGAGCCTCCACGGATTTTGGTATCCACAGAAGGTACTAGAACCAAACCCCAGCAGATACAAAGGGACTACTGTACACATAGGTATGACTGCATTTGGAATGCTGTTCATGCACAGTAAAAGAGGATACTCTGTTACCATTTGAATTCCTGCCCTTTTGCAAGAGGCATGCTACATGTCTGACACCATTTTGCAAGGGTATATTTTATGATGGAGACTACATTTCTGAAGTTTTGGTTTCCCAGCTGCCATTCCTAATAGGCCATACAGTCTTCAAATTGAAGATCATCCACTGTTGCATTCATTCTATCTTGGGACTCATGTGGAGAAAGCACATGACTCATGTGGAGAAACCCTTGTAGTCTGGGAGGTAATACAGAAATACTCAAAATAAATAAATAAATAATCTGGAGGAAGGCTGCTTATCAAATCCAGGCAAAATGCCTGTTTCTAATATTTTCCCCTTATTCTAGCACCAAGAGCCAGAATTGTTTCAACATTAAAAGAGGAAAACCACCATAGTTTACCGTGCAGACTGAGGAATTTTTTGCTGTACTTCATATATTTTTCAAGTAGTCAATGATATCACTAGGGTTGATGCCATCCAGCATAGTAATTCATGCCAAACCATATCACAATATAGCAGCCAAAATACTGTTTTTAATGTATGCTGATTGCATTTTATGTTATGTTATTATATTGTGTCGGCATCGAATAGTTGCCTGTTGCCTGTTGGAAGCCATCCTGAGTCCCTCTTCGGAGGTTGAGAAGGACGGGGTAAAATGTTGTAAATAAATAAATAAAATATCAAAAAATGGACAATGTCAATATCTATAAACAAAAAACAGCAGCCAAAAAACAATAATGTACATTGAGATGAAATCATGATTCCAAGAATCGTTGTAATTTAGTAATAATCCCCAACTGTATGTGTATTAGAATTTCCAAAAAGTCAATTAGCAGAGATATTTAGCCTTGTGGTTATACTGTTGCAGTAATGTAAGCTGGTCTTATGAGAAATGTATTTGTACTTGTAGCTAACTTGGATATATTTTATTACACAATAATATATTTATGCTGAAATGCTGCCCCAAAAATGCACCAAAAAAGACATTTATAGCTGCACCGCCATAATCCCATGGCCACAGGATAGTAATCTAAAGCCAAAGGCAGAGTTTTATGGGAAATATACAAATTTCATGTTGGTTGATCACCATCAGTTGTACCTAGGATACTTCCAGAGAAACCTATCAATAGATACAAATGCTAATAAATTGTTGAATTCTACATGGTTTTGGACCATTGATGCACTATTTGATAGTGGCAATGAAGAGTCATGAAGTTAAAGTGTCAAAGCCCAAGAAAAATTAAGTAATGAGGAGATAATTATTACCATTGTTTTTTCAGCTGTCAAGTTATATCCCAATACTGTAACAGATTGGTTGTCATCAATTGATTTCTTCTATCCTTTTAGAAAAATAACACCAAAACCACAAACATGGTTAAAGAGACATGTTACAAAGTATGAAATATTCTAAACCACCATTTATAAGGCATTAAACAAGTTTTTCCCTCCTTTTCCCTCTCCCTCCTTCTTAGATCGAATTGCACAGAATATAATAAAGTCCCATTTGGAGACGTGCCAGTACACAATGGAGGAGCTACACCAGCTAGCCTGGCAGACCCACACATATGAAGAAATCAAAGTATACCAGAGCAAGGTACAGCAAATGTAGCTGCATGTCATATCCTTCCACTTTTCCTCACTGATAACAACCTTTTCATGCATTCAACCTGACTGTTAATTTTTTTTTTCATGGCCTCAATGACTTGCAGCAATGACAGCACCAACCTAGACCTGACCCACCAATTTTTCCTGCAGTGATCAACATTAGAAAGGGTGGTGATGATTAAAATCCTCCAGAATCCCATATAGCACAGACATTAAAAACAAATTAGAGCCCAAGGTCCCTTTGAAGTCTTCTGCATGGTAAAAATGTAGAATATGTGGCAGATAACTTTGATAAATTGGCATAAAACTGACATATGTACTTAAAGGCAGATGGTTGAACTCATTTTTCATGGCAAACAGTTCATCTTTGAAACCTCTGGTTAGGAGGGGGTTCCTCAACATCAAAAGTAAGTTGATGAGAATGTAGATGATGCAGATACTTATTGGGGAGTTATGAGTGTATTTCTGGCGTGAATTCCAGCCCTGACATATGTTTTGGGGTAGCTATGTGAGTTTCACAGCAGATTTGCCAAAATTTTCTACCTGGAGTGTTTCCCCATAGGGTTATAGAAAAGCCAGTCAACGGGTGTGTTCCACTGGCTTGATTGCTTTACAGATATAGAAGTAAGCATGGCCCCTACATGTTCAGAGGCTTCATCCTTTGATTAGAGTCAGTCCATCAGTCAGTCCAATGTTCCTGAAGAACTACCATGGTATGTGTACTACTTACTCATCCTGGATTGTCCAAATTCCAGATTTGGGGAAGGAGGAATGAAGATTTTGGAATCAAACTATTAGGGTACCATAGCAGTAAAAATAAATCACATGGTAACAGTAATAATTTTATATATGCAAGTTTGAATAAAATAACAATTAGGTGAAGCTATCTGGTACTTTAGCAATTAAAGGACCATTGCTCTTACTTGCCTATTCTTTTTTTTCATGGTGGTTTCTTCTGGAAGTCAAGAGAAGCATTGTGGCAGCAGTGTGCAATCCAGATCACACATGCCATTCAATATGTGGTGGAATTTGCAAAACGGATAACAGGCTTTATGGAACTCTGTCAAAATGATCAGATTCTACTTCTCAAATCAGGTGTGTGGCAAATCTACATCACACTACATCGGCTTTTACGGAATGAAAGTAGAATGACTTACAGCATCCTTTCCATATTGAAGAAAATTGCAGGGGCCAATGCACCCAGAGTGCAATGGATATATGAATCTGATATACACAAGTTCAAAACAAATTTGAAAAACTAAGGGTTGTGTACTGTTTCAATCAGAAGAATAGTAAAAATTACAAAAACTTAACTAATTGATTAATTGATTTGTACATTGGACTTAGCTTTCAATGAAAACGGAATAGTCCATATTAAGTATCATCTTCATGTTCTTCATTATTAATTAAAATTTATTTTTATTGTTGCTATGTTTAATGTGCTTTTATCTTGTTGAGTTTTCCCTGTTTTTAATAAAAAATGATTTAAATTGTTTATGTTGTATGCTATCATGAGATTCTATGATAAAGAGTGAAACAGACGTGTTTAAATAAATAAATAATCTATCATAGCCATAGCACAACTGAAACAGAAAGCAGTTAAGTGCATTGTATATAGATCTGGAGAGGAGGATAGGAACTTATGCTTTAATAACATTAGATTCCAAAAATGCTTGAGGTCATTTCACTGGGATATTTACATGTAGTAACCTGGGCCATTTGTTGTCTCTCCAGGCTGTCTAGAAGTGGTTTTAGTAAGAATGTGCCGTGCCTTCAATCCACTCAACAACACTGTTCTGTTTGAAGGGAAATATGGAGGAATGCAAATGTTCAAGGCTTTGGGTAGGTTGTTTTTTGTTGTGTTGTTTGTTCCTCCATATTACCAACTGAAGTTCAATTTGTCACCACTTGACAAAAGCAAAATTTAATTCTCATGTAATTATCTGTATTTTTCCAAAAACATTGTTTGTTTTCGTATGTAAGTAGTAGGCTTGTACATTTTGGCTGAACCTTGACCTATTTCTGCTGGCCGGATACCGGTAGACCCCCCATATCCATTTTTGTGTGCCTCCTGAAAACAGGAATGCAGCCGGATGGAGTTTTCAGACTGCAGCTGAAAAATATGGCTGGATCAGCCCATTGGTGGTGGTGGTGGTGGTGGGGGGGCTTCCTATCATTTTACGACATTGCATCATTTATCCTTACATCCTTCATTATGACCTGGATTAAAAAGCATCATGGTTAGGATACCACTCTTTTTACTGGATGGCCCATGAGGTCTCTTCCAACTCTTTGATTCTATGATCCTTTCCTTTTGGTCCAGAGAAGACCTTCAATACTTTGTTAAAAATGTTTCTACTCTAGAAGAGACAGCGTTGCAACCCTGCACAGCATCTCTCAGTATAAACCCTGACAGACAAGCAGCAGTGTGCACTCTCTCTCTCTCTCTCTACACGTTCTTTCCATTAAGGCATTTTAAGGAGGCTTCCCACTTCCCACAGGGAAGGAAGATCAATGATCTGGAGCTATTCTCAGGGCTTCCTTTAAAAAGCCCTCTCTTTTCTCTTGATTTGCACTGCTTCAGGCCCTGCCTTTTTCCCCCTCATGCCTTTTTGCTTCAGGTTTAATGCTTCCTTATAAAGCTGTTTCTACTTTAATCTAGAGAAGAGGTAACTAGATTGTAGTAGTTTTCTCAGAATGAGGTGGTTCTTTTCTTTTGCTGGGATTACTATTAATTATTATTATTATTATTATTATTATTATTATTATTATTATTAACCTTTATAAGCATTTTCTGAAGGAGAGGAGGAGAGGAGAAAAAGAAGCTAAAACAATGACTCTCCGAGGCCCCAAACACACGTGTGCTCCCTACATACACATTCCACACATTCCCAACTCCCAGTCACTACCACGAAATAAAAAGAATCAAGAAAATAAAGGAAAATCAAAAAGATTCAAAAGAGAGACCAAGTCAGAAGCCAAGCCAAAAAATATACTGAAGCCAGGATGCAACAGTGATGCTGAATAGGGGAGGAGGAGCCGTGATCGGCTGCCACGTGGTCCCGTTATAGACGGGAAAATGTGTCAGCTGGGCCCTTGCCATTATGACCACTCAGTAGAGTCAAAGAAGCCAGTTTGGCCAAAGTAAAACAGCTAAAATAGATGTGTACACAAATCTAATAAATAGCAATCATATTTATCCATACTATGATTAATAATCATTTCAGATGCTTCTGCCAAAGCCAGATGGGTAAGAAAATTCTCAGACATATCAGTGTTACTTTGAATTGTTTTGAGATTTATCTCCATTGATGGGGCCTGTACAATTTTCTAAGCTCTGTGGAAAGGCAGAAAAGTTAAGATTTTCCTCTTGGTTTGTGGGCACGACTGAGGATTCAGGCAGAGGCTTGCATTCAGTTTGCAAACTGGCTGAAGTTAGTCTCCTTTGTTCACTTCAACAGTTAGCACAGAGTTTTGTCCTCTGCCACCCTCCCTCTGTATTCCTCGTCATGATTTTGTGGCTTTCTTTGTAGCATTTTTGAATCTTTATAGTATATTTAATTTTGTCATGTTACAGGGAAAGATTAGGATGGGATTTAGCTCCACTTATGGGTAGACAGAGTCTCTGCCACATCCAGTTGAAAATCTTGTAATGGGGACCTGTGTCATATGGGCTATCAGAGTCATACCCATTTTATTAAATTTAGATCTTGATCGTTTTTTCTGAACAGGAAATTATGTGATAGTATATAAATATTAGTATATCTAAACAGAAAATACTGATTCCTGTGCAGAAAATGCTGTTACTTGCGCAAAGCACAGAATGAGTCTTGAACTTTTCAAAAACTGCAGTTTTCAAAGACTTTCTTGCAGTGGGAAGAGAAAAAGGAGTTCTATTCAATATTGATACAAACATTCTACTATTTACACTTTATAATAGTAGCAGTTAATAATGGCTTAGAATGGCTGTTTTTTGAATGATCGGTCTAAAGTACTGTTTGTAAGCTGAAGATTATATATACACTTTCAATGGGGCTTGCCATGCCAGGCACTTTTAACAACCTACTCAGCAGGTACAGCTTTTCCTAACAGTATTTAACAACTGAAGGAAATAGTATTTCTCTTCCATCATGACATAAGTGTCTGACTGTGGAGATGCACACAGATTAGCTAGTGCTCATGTCGTATGAATCAGCATCTATAAAAGTTAGAATTTCCAGATGAGAAGCAAGTTTTAGAAGGTGATGGATTTCATGTTGACTTTGTCCTGTCTTCTGTGTGCAGGTTCAGATGATCTGGTGAATGAAGCATTTGAATTTGCAAAGAATTTATGTACGTTGCAGCTAACTGAGGAAGAAATTGCCTTGTTTTCATCTGCTGTTCTTATATCACCAGGTACTTATCTCCAACTAATTTTCGTTACCCCTTCATCCTACATAAAACCCCTACATCAGTACAGTTATTGGCTATGTACAGAATACAGTAAGCCTAAATTGGTTTAATTTGCTTCATGTTCTGCCTATGATTATGAGGGGAATTCCAGGTGGATATTTTTCTCTCTCTTGCACACACACTTTAACTTGTATTTCATATGTCATTATGTCTCCATTGGGATCAGTGACACTTGTAAAACCTTGTAGTAGCCAAGTACTTATATAATTCCTAAATTCCTATTTACACTTGCTGAGAGAAGTGTCTTTTCCTCCAACAATATCAGTCCTTGCTTCTTTGGGTGGTCTGATCTTTGTGACAGTTGGGGGAAAGGGAAAGAAATGCATAATCAAATGTGAAGTAGTGACACCCACCACCCCCCAAAAATAGATGTTAATGGGGTACCTATGTGTGCATATGCTCCTTCAAGTTATTGATTTATTGTGATTTCTTAGGCAAGGAGTACTCAGATCCTAAGATCCAACCTAACTGGAGCCTGGTGTAAAAATAAAATAAAAAAAAGCTTTGACACAATTAGAATCAAAGATTCTGAGTACCAAAACCAAACAGACTTCAGGGTTTATCTAGACTTGGTTTTTTTTTTAAGTGGTCTTGATTTGCCCCCAAACTATCTTTGTTTCTACAACATTATTTACAGTAGGGATGAGTCAATTTGTCACTGCTGTTATTTAAAATATTGGAAAACCAATCCTTGCTGATCTATTGCATATCATCTGTCTACCCCTGGAATATGGCAGATAAATCACATATCCATACCCATATCATTAAATCTTATTTACCATTATATTGTTATGCATCTATATATAATATGCTTTATTTAATCAACATTAAATATCAACACATCTGAGGATGCTTGCCATAGATGCAGGCGAAACGTCAGGAGAAATGCCTCTGGAACATGGCCATATAGCCCGAAAAAACCCACAAGAACTGAGTGATTCCGGCCATGAAAGCCTTTGACAATACATTGAACATTATAATATATTCTAGAATCTGTGTTTCCCCCTCTTGAACAGCCATATGTACTTGCATTAAACATTGCTTTGTAGGTATTCATCAGCACTGCAGTAAAGAAATAAAAATCTGGTATTGCAGGAAAAGAGCCATTTTTTTCTATCAGCAGCTTATGTTGGCTATAAAAAAGGTGTCTTGGAGAAGACAACCAGACACAAAAGGATTTGGGAAGCAGGCAACCAAATAGGGCTGCCAATTGTGAAAAAAATTCAACAATCACCATCAGACAGTGTGGCCAATTGGCATATCAGTTTGAGACAGATTTAGTGGAAGCAATTTTCTTTCTTTTCAGTGAAGAGTCTTTTAAAGTCGTATCTGCTTAGATTCACAGATTCATAGACTTAACACAATCACCCATTCAATTTGAATCTTGCTGATCGAAATTTTTCTTTGATTTTAAATGTAATGTATTGTATATGTATATTGTAAACCGCTCTGAGCCTTCGGGGAGTGGTGGTATAATTGATAAATAAATAAATAAATAAATAAATAAATAAATAAATAAATAAAAATTGGGTGATAGAATGCCAGAATCTATGCTTTACCAAGAACCCACATGGTGCAGTTGAGATGCACAAACATCCTACTCTTATTAGGAAGCTTGTATTGCAAGGACAGAGTGGCCTAAACACCTTGCATAAGACAACTCTATGAAATTCATGGGGTCGCCATAAGTCAACAGGCTACTTGAACGTACATGACAAGGAAAGAGACTGCATGATTGCCCACAGTTCAAGTGAAACCTAAGATCAAACCCAAGTTCTACATGTTAGTGATTTGCCATTTGAAAATTAAAATGCTACAGTTCATCCAAATAGTAATTCAATCATGGTATTGGCATTAAATAGTGATGTTCACGAATTTTCTTTCCATTTTCTTCCTTGATTTAGTTTATATCTGTACTTTATTAATTTCGTGTTACTTTACTGTTTGGCCAGATCGAGCTTGGCTGTTAGAACCAAGGAAGGTCCAGAAGCTTCAGGAAAAGATTTATTTTGCACTTCAACATGTGATTCACAAGAATCATCTTGATGATGAGACTTTGGCAAAGGTAGATTTTCAATATAAACTGACATACACACGTTCATTGACAGCCTGATTTAGCATCTTTTTTTTTTATTAGTTATATGTTAGTCCAGATTTCCACAGCAGACAAAAGAAAGACCCAGATCTAAAAATTCATTGCAGCTAGAAATTTCAGGGGTGGGAGGGATAACTGTCCTTTTTTTATATATATAGTATAAACAATAAGTCTCTCTTTTTTTGTTAAAGCTGCATCTGAAGTGAGTTACAGTGTACATTGATTTGCTTTTGTTGCTACTATTTAATGTACCACAAGACTCTTGGTTATTCTTGTGGGCAAAATATCTCAACTGACTATGTATCAAAGGGCTTTCTGTTTTTAAACCAAAGGTAGGCTTGCTTTACTTTCTTCCCAAATTGGGATGATTCTGCCCCATCAGAAACAAATAAAATGAATATGTCGAATAAAAACCAAGGGCAGTAAAACTTAAAATAATTAAAGTCAATTGAAAAAGACTTCACAACCTCTGAGGATGCCTGCCATAGATGCAGGTGAAACGTCAGGAGAGAATGCTTCTAGAACGAGGCCATATAGCCCAAAAAACCTACAACAATCCAGTGATTCCGCCACAAAAGCCTTCGACAATCAATTGAAAAAGTCTTTTGGGGGCTTAATACAAATTGTATCCAGAGAGGGAACTTGCTGCATCTCTAAAGGGTAGTTATTCCACAGCCGAAAAGCTCTGTTGCACAAACTCACTCATGTAATGGCCTGGGTTTGTGATACAAAAAAAAAAAGGGGGGGGATGATTATCTTTAAGGTAATCATCAAATGATATTCAGCATTATGAGATCAGATTATTTAGCCCCAAGCCCAGATTCTCCTTCTTCTACAAAGTTGATTTAAGAACAAGAAAATTAGTTTGATGGATCTAATCTGTTTGAAAATAAGAATTTCATGATTCTTTTGTTTTCTTGGAATAATATTTCTTTCCCTGTACTCTTTTGTCTGTCTCTCTTACAGTTAGTAGCCAAGATTCCAACTATCACTGCACTTTGCAACCTGCATGGAGAAAAACTGCAGGTATTTAAACAATCTCATCCTGACATAGTGAACACACTGTTTCCTCCGTTGTACAAGGAACTGTTCAATCCAGACTCTACCACTGGCTGCAAGTAAAAGGAAAGATAGAATATGTCACATAGTCCTGGAATGCATCACTGTTAAGACAAAAGAATTGTTTTCATGAAGACTTTCTTTTAAAAAAATGTCACTACTGCAACACTAGGAATGTCCTGCACTTAATAGAATTATTTTTCACCGCTACAGTTTGAAGAATGTAAATATGCACCTCTGAGTGGGGCCTGTTTTCATTTCTCTTCTTTTTGCTATTTTTTCTCTTTTTTAATGTTTAACTTACCAGGAAAAAGTTGCAAAATATAGAACACTGGGTGTTACCTTTATTTTTGTTTTATTTTATTTTATTTTATTGGGGATGTGTTTTGGGGCAGACAACTGTTTATAGACATTTTATTGTAGATATAAATGAAAACAGAAGGGCAATTTGCAGTATTGCTCTTCCTGCTTATTGTTCAAATATAATTTAAGAAAATTCCACTAAACTAGGCTTAACTATTTCTATGTTTTTAGCTAGTTAAATGCATGTGGCAATTTGTAGCCGTCTTGGAAATAGGTGTGCGTGTATGTAATATATATATATATGGGCATGAGCCTTTCCTGTGTGGATGCAGCATTGGTGCAAAGACAATTCCTGGGCGGTGGCGGGTAACGTTCCCTGTTTCTCTTTTGCCCCCTGAAGATGTACACAGGCATTTCCATGTAGCATTCCAGAAATGGAGAGGTAAATGAGATTGTCTGTTTTTAGCTCCCACATTTAATCCTCCTTTTCCACTCAGTGTGAACGGTGGGGTCTCCCCAATTCCTGTAACTGTATGTTATTCTATGTGTAATCTGAAGGGACAAGGGGGAAATAATCCTAGAGGGATCCTTCGCTACACAGGCAAGGATCATGTCTTGTGTATATATAAAAAGTATATATCAGGGATGGGCAAGTTTGGTATTCTCTGGGGCTAACTCTACCTTAAGACGATGGTCATGTGCCAGAAGAGTATGCTATTACACAGTTCAACATTGTCATCATCACCATGGATTATCCTAATGCAGTTTCTTGGATGGGGGATTATGTAAAAAATAGAAAAGAAAGATGCCCGGTTTTTAAATCGTTAACACTCTTACTCATGCACTGCCCTTCCCTCCAAGTAAAATTGAATTGCAAGATTTTAATTACATCCTGATTCCAATGTGATAGCACTACTGGGTCTTGGATAGGATTGCCTCATGAGTTACTAGTTAGCCAACCTTGTTGTATATTGTTATATAGTACACATATATATGGAATACGCACACACTTGTTGTAGCTTAAAGAAAATGCCTATTTTCTAAGGATGCTGTCTTGCATTTTTTAAACTCTCCATGTAATGTGTTGGTTTTATGTTGAGCAATTAGACTTTTGCTCTGCCATCCATCCACATATAATGAAAACATGATTCAATTTCTGATCAGTTTGTATATAATATGTATGCAGTATATGGTCACCGAATGATGAAAAGTCAGGTTAGTATTATTGGTGCCAAAGCCTTGTCTGGATAATTCAAATGGACAGAGATAAAGTTATTGGGAGATTTTTTTTTCCTCAGCGAGAGTGATAAAGCATATATTAAACATAATATTATAGGACAAAATGCCAATAGAGTATTTAAACTACAGAGTAAATTGTATACCATCCCAAACAGTACATTTGTTTTGTGAGTCAGAAAGAGAGTTTATTTTATTACCTTCCTGAAACAATAATAATAATTATTATTATAGGGCTCGGTATTGCTCTGTGTTCTCCAGGGGATAGCGAAGCAGGCCCATGTTGCATCTAAAAGTTATACAAAGAACCAACCAGTCATCAGCAAAGACATTATTGTAAACTGCAGGATGAGAGTGAAGGCTTTCCATATGTACACCCATCATCGAATGCAATTGTAACATTCCAGTGTCTAGGTAAACAGCTGTTTTTACTGGTTCACTATACTTCATATCCAGGGCTCAGATGGCTTGTTACCGCTTAACAAAACTGGAGTGGCATATTAATTTATTAGTGATTAATTTATTAGTGATCCTGAGTCTACAAATGAAAAATTATTATTATTATTATTATTATTATTATTATTATTATTATTATTATTTTATAGAATATTTTCTCCACTAGTTCCTACAGGATTGCTTAAGAAGCCTCTTTTACACACACACACACACACACACACATACATTCCTGGTTCTATTCGTGGAAAGAATTATGAGGAGAGAAGTAAAGGAAGTCCCTTCAGATCCCATAATGGTTCCAGTGTTTCTTAGCAGTGTTTCCTCAAAACTGTAATTTTAGAGCAAATGCTTAACCAGTTGTTCTCCAGGGATGGTTTTAAAAGATCCCTGTGAGAACAAAGAATCCATGCTCACTGATTCTGTGATACTTCAGAGAGGTTGCAGACCCCTAGAACATATCTGTGCAATCTTCTCTGAGCTTGCAAAAGTTACAATGATGGACTGCCTATATGGCAAATGACTATGTTGGCTGCAGGATTCTGAAAGCTCCAATGTAACTATTCCAAATTTTACACCTTCCACTCCTGGGAGATTCTGAGAACAATCGACTATATTCTGCTCACTCATTCATTCTGTCATTTTCCCTTTCTAACAAACACTGACTCTTTATATACCATCACACTATTCTTTGATGCTTTATGCTAACTTTTCTTATATAACACCATAACCAAAGCTGTTTTTAAAAAGTCCATAATATACTATATAGGCTATACTTTTTTCAAACTTTAATTCTGAAAATATATAATACACATGCCATACAAATACATTCTTGTTTCTTACCGAGTAACTGCCCAATAATAAACCAGCATGGTGTAGCAGTTTGAGCATTGGACTATGCCTAAGATCACTATTACTAGGGTTCAAATCCCCACTTTGCCAGAGATACTCAGTAGGAGATACCTCAGATGAGGGCAAAGCCCTTCTGAACAAATATTTAGGGGGAAAATAGTTCCTTTTTTGAAAAGGTGAAATGATGTAATCTACCATGTTACTGACAGGGTTACCTAACTTCTTCAACACAGAATTAAATCTAACATTGCATGACCAGCCTCTGGCTTACATTATGGGATTTTTCTCTCCTTTCCACTCCAGTGTGCTACACATGCAAACACACTTGATTGAACTAGGAGCCAGAAGAAGATGTTTTTTCCTTTGGTTGAGACCGGTGAAAGCATCTCCATATTCTGGAGGAGTTATTTTGGATACCATCACTTCTGAGATTTTTTCTTACTTATACATAGAATAACTGGAAATAGAAACGTTATGAGGCTGATTTGAATTTTGAGAAATATACCTTTGGGTGGACCTAGGACCTCTTCAGACAGGCAGGGGGAAAGGGGGAAAATGGAGGGAACCATCCCCCTTCATTCCCTACTATCTTTCCTTGGATGGCCTCCCATCGCATGTGATTTTTTATCTTTTCCCCATTTCCTCCTTGTGTTCTCGAATTGGAGTCAGGTAACACCCAACTCCTCCAAAGCCATTCTGGGCTCTGTTTATCCATACTGCTGAAACTGAGCCCCATGGAGTCTCCCCAGATACTGTCTTGCGTCATATGATGGGCTCCGTGGGACTCTGTTTTGGCAACATGGAAAAACGGGAAGAAAATGCAGAGAAAATGTCATATGATAACATCCCTACTAACTGTTAAATAGAAATGAAATGAAAGATTTCCATGAGTGCCAGCGCATGCCACCCCCAAAACTTTTCTAATCTTCAGTTATTCCAGGTATAACTAAAGAAAGGTATTTCAGAGGTACAGTTAGTATCCAAATCACTCCTCCAGAAAATGGAAGTGACCCATATTTGATAACATTTATTACACTGCAAAACAACACCATAGGACACTTCTAAGTAGGGTTTAATGGGTTTATTTTATTTTTTTTTTAGATTACAGCCCCCAGAATCCCTCACCCAATAAGGCCAAATTGAACAATCTTGGACTGCCTACTATGACTTCTTGTTATTCTGCTGTTCCTCTTCAAATGACAGGATAGAGGGACAACGGAAGCTGCCCTAGTAAATGATATCCCTTCTTCCTTTACTTAATTTGTCTCTCCTCCACTGGAACGAACAAACAATAACACTTTATATTGTCTTCTGATAATGTAAGAGACAGAGTCACTTTATTCTCAGTGTCTGAGCAGACGGATGTAGACTGCTTGTTACACTTCTACAGGGACTTAATTTTGTCTAAATGTCACTCCTGCTGGCTCCCTGTATAAAGAATTAATTCCAAGAGTCATATTTCCTTCTAATGGAAAGATTGCTTTACTGATTGCTGGGAAAACAGGGTAATAGAAGACATTCAATTAAACCAAGCTGTTTCCAAATGCAATATATATTTGATGATTGTGTTAGAGACCGCGCAGGATTTGAGGCTAGGAGTTCTTGTGCTCTTTTGACTCTCATCTAATATAATCTTCTTGATTTCCTTTTTGTTAAAAATTCTTCCTGGATTTTACAGTCATGGAAGTTTGAGTAGCTTCTACATAGTAAGACTAGAATGAAATAATTCATTTTCTCCTAGGACTACGTCTACCCAAATAGCTACAATTACAAACAGAACTCACTTTAACTCCACTTTGACTCATACTGTTAGCATGATATCAATTAAGAAAGACAAAGGAATTCTAACACCTACATCATGTATCAGCAAAACTGGACAATCTTAGTGATCTATTCTTTAGATAAGGTCAGATTACCAAAGTATTGCCAAGTTCCAATAATTCCTTATGGAGAATAAAAGCTGGGGACATTCCTTTGTTCAATGACAAGTGTTTTCTCCATTGAAATTGAATAGTAGATCACTACATCCAGTTAAGGGCATTTACCTTGGAGTAAATGTAGAGTTTTGGATTAAGGTGCAAGGGGAGTCACCAAAACAGTGACATAAGAACCATGGGAGGGAATACCTAGATAGGTAAAACTTTGAAACCTGAAACAAACAGCTTGGTTTTCCTTGACACTAGAAAGTGTATGAGTTTGTGTGTATGTGTAACATGATTCAGCCATTCTGCCTTCTCTTTATCCGTGTCTCTGACATGCAGTGTGAACTGTATGTCATACACTAGCACCATCTTACTCTTTCCTTTTCAATCTTCACACTTTGTAAATGACAATCACTGCTTGATGCAGATGTTGCACTGTATGCTGCTCAGGGATATATTACCTTATTAAAAATAATAAGATATATGAAAATGACAATAATAATAAGGAAACAATTATTAGAAATGTGTTGAAAGGCACAAATTTAGATGCCAAAATATGGAAGACCCAGACAAGGCTTTCAAGCCAGCTTTTAGAAATGATGTGGTTACAAACTGAATTCACTGTTCCTTTTTCCTCTCCAATGTGCGCCCCTGATTTTACACTTTGATTCTGAGCACACAATCCATATTGTGACCATTTATCCTTCGGAAGAAAACTCTGTGAACTTAAAATGAATTTCAAGCCATTGGCAAAATTAACATTTGGTTTCAAAAATGTTTTCTGGGATGAAAGAAAGTGGCTAAAGTACACTGCAACTGCAAACTTGAATATAAAACTGCTGGAAGGCAGTGGCACTTAAATCTTACACGAGGTAAGTGTGCAAGAATCAGGAATTTAGACTTTGAAAATAGTGACATATTAGTAGCATTAGCCACAATGTTGCTGATTTACCACATGGAGAAATCATGAGACAAATAAAGAAAAGGGACATTTTTAAAAAGCATTATTTCTTCTCATTTTCAAAGTGCCTCTAATTGGCTTCTATGTACTGGCAAACCAACAGAGTACCAAGTCATAACAGAATAAAAAGTACTTCATACAATTATTTTTGCTACCAAATACCAAGCCAAGTTCTTTATGAAAGTGTTTCCCTATGTTACCTTTTACTATCTCTTCTATGTTAAGCTCTAGGAACAATCTGAGAAAAGAAAGTAGAGAGCATGCTATTTAATAGTGATTTGTCATCCTAGTCATTCATCCACAAGTCTGAAAGAACCATCTTGGTATTACGGTAGTAAAGAAAAGAAATGGTAGGTTTTGGGTGAAGATGTGGGATCAGGTCTCATCTAGGTGAACAGAATGTGAATGTGTATGAGAAGGTAGTAAATCGAAACATACTCTTTATTTCCACTGTTCACCCTATTTTTTCATGTGAAAAATGTAAACCTGTCCCAAAATTTGATTTGATGTATAAAGGAGAAAGGCAAGAAAATTATGTTTCAAATTCAAACCATGAATTCCTTTTCCTGCCAACCTGAATTTGAGTTATTTGCTTCTATCCAGAGATAATTTCTCCAGAGCAATGAAAGTGACTTTCTCTATAGAGCAATAGTCCAGCATTAGCAGCTACCTAATTCCACAAATGTAGAAGAAGAAAATTCTAGTACTAGAGTTAAGAGTTTTCTAAATCCTGTTGATCTCAGTGAGTGAGTTAAGTACCCCATTAAATCATTCCCACTGCAAGAAGAGGGTTTCAAAAGTGCTTAACCTTATGTAGATCACTTCCCTTTGGTGTAAGCAGGATGAGTGCAATGAAAAGCCTCTTAGTTCTTTTCATTCCGTATGGTTCTTCATGCAGTCTTAAATGTATGTCAGCACTAACTAAGGAGAGTGTTTTCCCCAGTCCAATATTTACTGACAACAGTTACTGAACAGACTGGGTCTCAATATGAAAACAGGACCTGGCAGCACATCTGAACCTAGCTGAAAGAACGGAGTTAGCAGCGAGCTGTATCTTGTGTGAGGTGGGAGGATACATACCGGCATACCCCATGCCTTCTAGACTACCACTCCATAAATGTCCTGCTGCCCTCTTTGCCTAAAGGGGCAGCACTGGAACCTCTTCAGCTGTGGCATTTTTGAAGCCAGAGAAAAAGCTGGAGAAGATCTCTAAATGGGAACAAGGGGCCCTTCCAATATGATGATGGGCAAACTGACCCATATTATAACCATATTACATCCTCATATTTCATTGTGTACCTACATTTCCCATTTCTCCTCCATAAAATCATGATTCAGAGACAGATATAGAAATAGTTCCTCTTCATTTTTGAGAAAGTACTTAATATCTCTGTGCTAGTGTCAGACTACTACTCTGGAGACAAAAATTCAAATGTCTCCACAGCCATAGAAACCCACTGAATAACCTTGGGCACATCACACACTCTGAGCAGCAGAGGAAAGCAAAAGCACCTCTTCCCTTTGAATAAATCATGCCAAGAACCCCCCCCCCCCCCAAATAGGTTTGCCATACATTGGATATGACTTAAAGGCACACAATGACAACAACCTAGTACTATTTCTCCAGTGGTAACAAATGCATCAGTACTTCCTAAAAACAGCAATCTGAATGTATAGCGACATGGATTGATTGTGCTCATATACTAGTGTTTTATAAAGTCATCCACTCAGTTTACATTAAGAAACGCACAAGAAGTTAATGAGGAG